TACGGCACACAGAAATCTACCATTCCTAACGACAAAATCACAGTCGGGCAACTGCAGTTTGATGGCTCGAGGCGACGGGACAACAGCCCTTCAGTCTATTCAAATGCCTCCACAAAGACAACATGCCGGGTAGCCCCACTCCAAGGTTTATGGTGGCGGCAAGCAAACGACTACCACATCGCCTCGGCAAAGACCAAGGGACAATCAAGAGACTCATACGCAACGAGCACGCGTTGACCCAAAAGTACTTCTTGGTTGCCGGTGTCGTGCCATAGTAAAACGCCAACCTCTTCCGATGGTCAGCCTACCTGCAGGGAATCTTCACTGCCTTTCGGCGATGAAGGCTGGATGCTGCCAGTAGAAGATGACGACAATACGCCTACAAGCGCAGACGATTCTACATCGCCTCCTGCTCCTCCCTGCTCAGGATCAATAGACGTCGAAGGCATTCCAGGCTGTATGTTGCCAGTAGAAGATGATGACAATAAGCTTCGAAGAACGGGTGATTCTAACACGCCTGCTGCCCCTGCATGCTCAGGATCAGTAGAGGTCGAAGGTAGTCCAGGTGGTATGTCTGCTGGCTCCTACACCACAACACATACATATGGCACACAGGAATCCACCCTTCACCAAGAAAAAACTACAATCGGGCAACTGCAAGCTGATGGGTAGAGGCGCCACGACAACAGTCCTTCAGTATATTTGGATGCCACACCTGAACTGCCTCCAAGCGAGAGTCCCGGATGGATCTTTTCGAGCTGAAAGCTGCCCCCACATGCATTTGGCCTTTGTATGGGCCAGCCGATATTTTCTCGCGAGATCCTTCCCATTTTTGGCTTTCACCACCACTACCTAGCAACATAGAATATTTCGTTCCAGAGTGCATCAGACCCAATGCTTCCTCTAAAACTTCCGCATCGCCACTCAACAACCAATCATCCGGCTGCAGGCCCGCACTGCTCTGGTTGACTTCTGACAACACCGACTCGAAAAAGCTCAACGGACTCATGGCGCGCGAGTCACTGCTATCCAGAGTAGACAGGTTCCCAGGTAGTAGTGGAGTCGAGATTGTTGATGTTGGCATAGGCGCACCATGGCTCTGCTGGCCCACAGACTCCCCTCCAGGCGTTGCATCTTCACTTTCCAATATTGAGGGTACTACATAGGGAGAGGCAACATCATCAAGGAGCCACGCGTCTTCGTATAATACACGTGTGCCTTCAGATAAGGTGGAATCAACGAGTGAATCGAGTTCAGGGTCTAGGTGGGGGACCGATGGTCCAAGAAGGCTGTGATGAATCGGTGCCTCCAATTTCTGTACCTTGGCCCCACGCCCTACAC